CCACGTATGACCTTGCAAACTCAAATTCAGTGTTCCTGCACTCTCGGGTAATGCTTACGGCCTCACGATATTACCTCGGTGACCGCGGAATCTAGGGAAATGAAATTTTAGGGCAATGTTAACGTACGACTTTGCAAATTCACATTCAGCGCTCCCGCTCTCTCGGGTATCATCTAGGCCCCGTGAAAATTTTGACGAGGAAATTATTATCTCAGGAACCAGAAAAGCCAAGAAGCTGTAGTTTTACGGTAGTGCCGGCGCATGAGATTTCATGTGCCATGGCTTGTACGAAAAATAATGCCATGGCTTGTACGAAATACGCACAAAGTTGCATTTTCAATTTCGATTTGAAACATACAGAGGTAATTTTAGTGCGTTGAGATATCGAGTCTGTAGCCTCTATCGATTCAGAAAATGCATTTAAACTGCAGAAAGATCATACAGTAGTGTAATAATAGTAGTTAGTAGTTATTATAGTAGTTATTAAATAATACTAAACTAAAAAACAAGTATAGTAACAATAGTAGAAGATGAAAAAAAAAAACTGTCGGAATGTATAACGTTAATTTCACTACCCTAAGAATAAACTAAACATAACAACAAATATAAATACCTGGAAATAACGAAAGATTACTTTGCAGACCAAAATAATCAATAAATGCTGATAAAGTCTAATAGAACTTTTACTCTGACCAGCACCTATAATTGAACCATGGCATGTCTATGTCACCGATACAAGTGTTCAGAAACTATGATCCCTGTGAACGAGGGTGCACTACCTGATATTCGGTCAGGGAAGATTTGGACGGTCCCAATATTGCCAATAAATGGAAACCTTCATAAACACGAGCTCTTTGGACACCGTTCTTGACACCAACAGCTACCTTGTGATAAGTACCACCGATGCTTTCATACAAAACTTTGTTAATTTGCACAGACGGATCTGCTCCAGTGAATCTGCACCAATCCGGAAAATGTAGTCTCATTTTCCGTTCCGATGTGACATCATGTCCAATGCCCAATGTTACTATGTTGCATTCTTCCTCCTGCAATTCGTGCGTCTCAGATGGCACAGTTACATTTCAGACGAGCCTTAATTTGCTTCAGTAAAATCGCAGTTGAATTCACCATCGTCACTAAAACCGCCCGAACAAATGACATGTTTAGTTTATGGCCCTATTAGGATACAACAACATGCTTGGCCTAATTTGGCGCTTTTTAGTTTAAAGTCGGCTTAAATCTCTCCTCTTGTTCTGACCTGCGGCTTAAGTTTACACTCGTAGTTAAACCAGAGAATTTTGACACTTCTTCAAACAATTAAAAACAGTTAATTTGGAATTCGTTATTAAGAGTCTCTGTCCCCCACCTACGGAATTAGGTTCATACTGAGTTTAAATTTGTAACTTTCCCGAAATGTCGAAATTTTTATATTTTTAATATTTTGTAGAACTTTTGGGTTGAAACAGTTTCCAAATTACGTTTTTATAAGTCTACTGAATTTAGCCCCAAATGCAGGCAAGACTTAATAATCGAGTTGATGCGAGCCAACTGCATCTTTAGTTTTCAAGTTTTTTATGCGTATTAAAAAAACACTGTGGTGAACTTTTTTTCATATTAGCTTACTCATTAACTCTGCACAAATAGCAGTTCACATCAAAGCGTAGAAGCTCGCCGATTGTACTGACACGCATCCTTGTCTATTTAACACTTTTTATTCACCATCCAGCACACTTGAAAAACTCTAATTTTAAAATCGATAAACAATCACCCTTGTAATGGCAACGGGTAGCACAGCGTATTTCAGGTCATCCATGTTTGAGTACTCCATTATCTGCGGGAGATTGACCGCATCACTACAAAAATTCAGCATGTGATGGAACCTGTACCAGTACTGAAATGATAGAGAATTTGTTTGAGAGGCAGGACTGCAAGCAAGAGTTTGGTGATCTAATTCATTTCGTATTTTTGCATGCTTCGTAATTTTCGGTTCCGACAGACATAAACCTGATAGTCTGGTCGGCTCTTCATGGAAGCTTTTCTTCTTGCCATTCGTGCAGCCCGCACAACATCTCCATCCCCTTTTATTTTGGGCCTTTGTCATTCACATAATTTCATATAGTCAAGCGGTTCTCCCCATCGCACCACTGGCCTTTACTATGGTATTTTAATACCACATACTTGCAACAACATGTCTGCATAAAATAACGGGCTGATTTCCTAGTAATCTGATTTGGATCGATGCAACATTCGTCGAAATCTAAGCAAAATGATGCTGTGTGCAGCATGCGTCTTGATTTATCTCACAGCTTTTGAGTGCAAATCGTTCACCATTAATAGGTCGCTCAAAGGTACCTAGATAACAAGAAAACAAATTTACAATGTTATTTTGGCAATTTTTTCGGAAAACTATTTGACAACGAGATTGCCAAGACCGCTCGGGTCCTTTGTGTTACGCTTCCACCAAACTGTGTCATGTTGATCAATGTGTTGTGACATATCGATCACGCTGCACAGCTGTGCCCGA